AATTTTACAACCATCGGCACAAAACACCAAGCAACAACCCAAATCCTATTCGTTAGTTTACTAACTGAGATTAAACTAAATTCAAATTGTGGAATGCATAATACATCTCGTAGTATTATTTCAGCAGACAAACACACATCACCAGCATGAGTTACCATGGCATGATCACCATTTGGCAACATGACTGACAAATGACGCACTTCATGAAAATTCGAAAACCATCCAACATCATTTATGATATGGTTAGTAGCACCTGTATCAATTATCCAAGAAGGAAAGGAGAACTTACCATCTTGAGCAATCGGCTTGAAAGTTGTAAAACAAGCATTTGCTCGAGTAAATGCTCCTGTTGGACCTTCACTTGTATCACAGGGCCTATCATCCAATGGTGTATCAGGAAGTGAAGCAGCCATGTTGTTTTGACATCCACCTATATTTGTAGCAGCACTCTGCCTAGAAACACTAGTAATGGGAAAACTAGTAGAATAATTTGAGGGAAGACCAGATGTGAATGCTGAAGTGGGAAGATTTGGATTATAAAATGGCGTAACTGTGCTAGCAACAGAGTTTACTATCGCGGGCATGGATCTTTGCCCAGACATGTTGGTTGTGCTTTGTTTATTTTTTCCTTTCCAACCAGGAGGATAGCCGTGCAATTTATAACACTTATCTATTGTATGCCCAGTCAGTCCACAGAAACCACAAACAGATTTCTTATTACCGGATTTACGTTGCATTGAGACCACATTACTAATACCGGCATTCGTACTCCTCGCAAGAAAAGCACTCTGAGCATTACCATCACCGTTAACCAAATTTAAAACCCCTAGACCTCCATGGAAAATTTGACGCTCTTGTTGTTGAACCAAAGAGCAAGCTTTACCAACTGTAGGCAATGGTGTCATAAGCATAATTTGAGATTTAACACCTAAATAACTTTCATTTAAGCCTTTTAAAAAAGTAGTCACTTGTTCCATTTTATGACCCTCCTTGATTCTATCTAAGCACCCACAACTACATCTTGGTGTACAAGCACACGTAGGCAATGGCTTTAAAAGAAAAAGTTCATCCCACAATAGTTTAAATTTAGTAAAATATGCACCTACAGAAAATTCCCCTTGTTTTATGCTATAAATTTCCCCAAGAAGATCCGCAACACGAAAAACGTCCCCTTCATAAAATCGCTCTTTTAAGTCATCCCAGACTTCTTTAGCAGTGTCGAGCCATAAGACACTTTGAGAGATTACAGGTATCACTGAATGTAGGAGCCAGGACAAAACCATATTATTTGCCCTTTGCCATGCCGTGAAATCAGGTGACGTCACCTCTGGAGCAACAATTGAGCCATCAACGAATCCAAGCTTATTTTTGGAGAGTAGTGCCATCTTCATTGCTCTACTCCAAGAGTGGTAATTTGTCCCATCTAAAGGGACAGAAACAAGAACTAAAGATGGACTTTCGCCAGAGTGAAGATAGAATGGGCTTCCAACATTAGTCGCATCAAAATTTGTCCCAACCCCAGGGACAACAGGGGGTGGCACAACTGGATGGACTTGTTCCTCAGAATTGTCAGCCATAAATAAAAACAAAGCGGAAACAAATTTAAACTTGCTTTGATACCATAATGAGAAAATGACAAAGGAAGAAGGAATAAGCAAAAAATATTATTTGAGAATATTTCTGATGATTAACGAAGAATGAACAAAGCCGAAATAAATAGAGCAGGCTACAACTAACTCCACGCTAGTTTGATGCTAGACTAGGTACAAAACCAAAACAATAATTTAAATGAATTCAAAATAACAAGAAATAGTCAAAAACAAGAAATAGTCAATTCACATGCTGCTTCAATAAAGACATCTATGAGGCATGCATTAGCACTGCTTACCAACCAATCAACATCTTGACTTGCGATGTTTGGAATTCCAATGGCGATGGTTGTTAGCGTCACCATTGGAAGTGTCCAACAATTAGGAGGTTCACCAGACAATAATAGACTTGGAACTCGATTGCTATCAAATCCTACCATGCCAGCAAAGGAGAAACTTTGATTAACGAGAAGATTAAATAGGTTGTGTGGCCCTTGCTTCTTATCCATCTCAACAAGTTTATCCACCCTATTAATAATCCCTCTCAATAATTTTTTATTGGGAATTACTTTTCTCCTTCAAGTAGTATTACAAAGCAATTGAGGCGATCTACCTTTGAAACTTTCTCTTTGCGGAACAATTTTCCTAAATAATGATTAATTAATTTGCCTAAAGGATTAACTAAAAGTACTAATGGAAGCACGGAGTAAAAAGATATAACACTACAAAACTTACACCACATTACATTCACAATCTGAATTATTATGCAGAAAGTCAAGATCACATATTTTATGTTGTGAATAAATTTTCTATGTGTGCGTCTCTTAAACTTTATAGGAATTGATTGCTGCCTCCACTCAACCAATTTTTCAGTCCAATAGGACTCAATTGTGACCTCTTCTCTACTGATTTTGATCCCATTGTTCTCATACTTGAAACCAGCCACACTAATCAAGAAGATTGTAGCTATGAGTAGAGTTGGTAACGCCGTAACGTGACATAATATTGTGAAACGAAAATCAAGTTGATTGACCACTTATATTCAGGTCCCTTTGGTAGAAACCCCGAGTTAAAACCGGTCACCCATTAAAAAGTGCTAGAAATGAAATAAGGGCAGAAAATCTAAGCTCTTCATCAGAAGCCGGGGGCTACCAGATACTGCCATCACCCAATACTTTGTAATGTTCAATCTAAGCTCTTCAACTCTATAATGTTGTTGCCTCTCATCTGAAGCTAGCTTCTAATACTTTGATTTTGCACGTTTCTTAATTGCTGGAACTGCTAGAGCCGAACTCACAATTGTCGTCCACCTGCAGAACAAAAAAGCAATTTCGATGATGATGATTATCGAAAATGATGGGGGATTAAACACATGGAAACATTGTTGGATGTATAAATCGACAACCACGGTGTCACCAATATGCTCAAAGCCGTGAGGTTGGTTACAATATCTGCGTTATTTATAGAGCCCTGCAAAGAGGTGAAAAAATTATTCATCGCCACAGTTAAGAAAACCGTGTTCATAATTTTTGCTTGATTATCTAGGATAGACAACACCTCTAAAAAAGAATTGTATATACTCTAGTGCAAATTAAATTTACTAGTGCAAACTCACTTCTTTCTCCAATGTGAGACAAAGGCTTCGTCAAAGCCTTCCCGATTTCATTTTTATCAATTCAAATGATTCTATTTTTAGAATCAATTTCTCATTAACATATTATCTGTTTTGAGTATCTTATATATTGAACTAAAGCTTTTACTTAGAAAAACTCGAGTTCACTTATATTCAACCCAAATTAAAAGTGGACTTACTCAACCTAAAACTATGCCTAAAAATAGTCATTTCACATGTAAAAAAAAAAATAAAAAAAAAAAAAAAAAAAAAAAAAAAAAAAAAAACTACTTTTCCAACATAGTGATCCATTGTAAAAAAATGTAATAGGAAAGTAGAAGCGTTATGCTGTGCAACCGTGTGCACCGTACATAGTGCACACAGTTGCAAAAACGACGTCGTTTTGACGTCCGACTTTAAAAAAAAATCAGTTTTGATTTCCTTTAACGGCGTTATGTTGTGCATCATTTGAACTATATAGTTCATTCATTCTGGATATATAGTTCATTCATTCTAGATATATAGTTCATTAATTCTGGATATATAGTTCAAATCACTACTACACAGCAGGCCAACGTCGGCTAAATACCGACGTTGTTCTGGGCGACATTGTATATATTATATATAACGTCGGCTATTTAAATAGCCGACGTTATATATATTTTTTAATTTAATTATTAAATATCTACAACGTCGGCTAATAGCAATTAGCCGACGTTGTAATGTTTTTTTTTTAAATACTATACAACGTCGGCTAATACTAATTAGCCAACGTTGTAAAGTGTTTTTTTTTTAATATATATACAACGTCAGCTAATAATAAATAGCCAACGTTGTATGTTTTTTTTTAATATACAATTTATTTGTCCATTTATACCCAAAAAACTGGTTAAATTACTCACAACCACATCCAAAACCTGCTCAATTATTGCACCACAACCACAGCAAAATATGTAGAATCTAATATTTATAATCAAACAAGTAATAAAAGTTATAGATCTCACTATTTGATACTAATTAATAATACAAGTTAAAATTATCAACCTAAGATCAATTTGTTCAATTTACATACTTAACCATACATCAACAAAGAAGTCGGCCCATACGTCTCTAACTTGATCAATTTCTTGTTGAGTGTAGTTCGATCCACCAACTCTCTCAACAATCTACAAAGTTGATAATTAACAAATAATTAGTAAGCTAGCATTTTTAAAATTAGAAAGAGAAAGGTATTATATTAAATTACATGCCTTATCCATTCCCACACATGCTTCTTTGGAAAGAATTTCAAGCATGTATTTCATCACATAATATCCACATCCCGTACTTCCAACTTGTTGAGCACACTACATTTGAATTAAATTACATTTAAAATGTTATTTAATAAAAAACAATAAAATATATGTAGTTTTACAAATGTATAAAATACTTACCAAAACTTTAATCCATTTTGGTGAACGAGTTGATCCATTGCTTCTCAACAACTTTGCTAAATTCACACACCTAAAATTATAAAAGATTAGTATACATAAATACTTTATGACATCATGCATAATATACTTTATTAATTATAAATATTAATACTTATAAGTTCACATACGTTTCAACAATATCTTTGATGTCATCACGTGGCTGGCCTCCAATTGAATCAAACCAATAGATTTTATTAAGTTGATGAGGACAAATTGCCATCAACATCCAATGGTCACTACAAATGAATAATGTATTAGTTCTAAGTAAATATAATATATAATAGAAGTGTATTATATATAAGTTTTTTTTTTTTAGCAAAGAATCGTTTATTGAGGAATAGTTCGGCAGGCAGTAAACCCCCTGTAATCATACAAGAGAGCCAATTTGGCTTTGGTAGGCAAAGCATTAAAGGAGCGAAAGATGGAGGGAGTAATAGCGACTAAGCCTTCTGCCGCAAGGGCATCTGCTACGCTGTTTGCTTCCCGATAAGCATGTTTAATCACTGCACCCCAAGCCGCAACGTACGTCCGTATGTAAAACATAGCTTCTTGGAGTTTCCATGGCATCGCGTCCGAAGAGGAGGCCAAACGGACAAGCTGAAGAGAGTCTACTTCAATGATATATGGTCGTAACACCATAGTGTCGCACCATTGTAGGGCTTTCCGCAGAGCTAGCACTTCAGCCTCAAGAGCGGAAGAGACATCCAAACGGAAGCAGATTCCAGCAACCAACAGGCCCCGAGAATCTCGAAGACATGCCCCACCCGCCGCACCAACTGATGAAAGGAGAGCATCGGTGTTAAGTTTAAGACGTCCTGATGGTGGCGCTAACCACTTGACCCACTGTGTCGTACGCCGCGGGGGATAGCAAATCTGGCAATCAAGCCTTCAGCTTGAAGACAAAATCCAAATGCTCCCATGTTGCGAGGTGGACAGGCTAAAGAGATGAGATAGGATTCCCTTTTGATCTTCCTAATAACTTCTGAAGACGAGTACCTAGACCCGTTGTAGAGGCAATCTGTGTATGCCACCCATAAGAACCAGAGAATAAGGCAAGGCAACAGGCATGAAAAGCTTCCCACCGCAGAATCTGGAGCAGCCAGGAGCCACCATGCATGACAGGCAGTACGAATGGTGGATGAGTTGCCCAGATTTAATCCGGATAATCTGCTGAAAAAAGTCCACACTCTCTGTGCTTCGTTACAGCCAAACAGACAATGCTCCAGGCTTGCACTTGCAGCAACACAAAACGGACAAACAGAAGGCACACAGTAACCAAATCTCTCAATGACATCAGGGAAAGGCAGGAGCCTCCTCAGTAGCTTCCACATAAAAACTGAGATTTTAGATGGAATAAACCTTCCCCAAATGCTGGCCGACGAAAGACAACGTCCCCTCTTTGGTCGCAAAAAATCGTAGGCTGAGGACAGAGTGAAGTCCCCATATGTAGATGGAGCCCAGATTATGGATTCTGCAGATGACATGAGATTATCCTCCACAAAGGCTTTCATGGTCCACATCCTGCGCCGTATTAACGAATCTGAAGCCCTCACGTTTTCATCTGGGTAGCGAGCGGTCATGAACCTGCTCCAGAGACTTCCCCCCAACAAGAAGCTGTAGTAGATCTTGGCCGAATAAGCTTGTTGTATGGTGTGCATATTTCGGACTCCAAGGCCTCCCTCGACAGTAGGCAAGGAAATATTTCCCCATGAAGCCCAGTGCCTTTTCGGGCGGCCATCACAGGTTCCCTAGAAGAATCGGGCGAATTTAGATTCCAAAGCCTTTTCTGTTTGGCGAGGAAGGAGTAAAGAAGCCATCGTGTATTGTGGGATCAAAGATAAAACATGCTTTATTAGAGTAAGACGGCCCCCGGGTGATAGAAGCTTTCGCTGCCAACCTGCTAGTTTCCCGTCCACCTTCTCTAGGAGATGCTGGTAATAGCATGGCCTGTTGCGCCCTTTAAACAAGTTCACTCCCAAGTAGCGAAACGGCAAAGAGGAACGTTGCATGCCTAGTAACCGTGACATTGCCGCGGTCCTTTGGCTAGAGCAGTGCTTAGAAGTTACAAAAAAGCTTTTGTTGTAGTTGATTTTCTGACCGGACCCTGCCTGATAATCCTTCAAGAGCTTCGATAACTCCTTTAACGAATTCGATGAGCCATTAACTAGGATGATGATGTCATCTGCGAAGGCCAAGTGGGAGATTAATGGACACTGCAACCCCGAGTAATATGGGGAAATCAATCCTGTACCCACTTTTAGAACCAGCGAACGTGACAAAGCCTCCGAAGCAAGTATGAAAAGAAGGGGCGATAGCGGATCCCCTTGTTTTACACCCCTTGTCAGCTGAAAGAAGCCACAGCTGACCCCGTTGACCAAGACGGATAACCTTGTAGCTTCCAGGTTGTTCAAGAATAAACCGATAAACCCGGGTGGGAATCCAAACCTGGTAAGGGCTGCCTTTAAAAAAGGCCACGAGACCCGGTCGAAAGCCTTCATCATGTCCAACTTAACTACAACATTTGAGCCCCGGCATCTCTTATCAATATATTGCAGGAGCTCAAAGGCTAGCAAAACATTGTCCTGTATACTGCGCCCTTTAACAAAACCAGCCTGCTCACTCGAGATTAGCTTCGGCAAAATGGGACTCAGACGGCTTGCCAGGATCCTAGTAAAAACTTTGCAGATGAAGGTGCAAAGACAAATCGGCCTAAAGTCCGCAAACGTGTCTGGATTATTCCTTTTGGGAATTAGCACTATTTGTGCACTGGCTAGTGCTCGTGGAATCGGAACGCCTGCAAAGAAGTCTAAAGTTGCTTGATAAACATCTTCATGGATAAATTCCCAACAGTGTCTGAAAAAGGATCCATGAAACCCATCCGGACCGGTTGCACTGTCAGGGTCGAGCATCCACACGTCCTTTTTAACCTCTTCCTGCGATATCGGCGAGGTCAAAGTGATCACATCTGAATTTTCTAAGCAAGGCGGAAGACACATCAAAAGGGAATCCATACCGGGGCAATTTTCGGCCGTGAATAGGCTGGAGTAGTACTGGATTGCCTCCGCTTGAATTGCCTCAGGGGTCGACAAAATAGAACCCGAGCTATCCTTGATGGAGTAAATGGCCTGCCTTCGATGTCGATCTTTAACCATCGCATGAAAGAAACGCGTGTTCGCATCCCCCTCCCTAAGCCATTTGATCCGTGCTTTCTGCTTCCAGTAGGCCTCTTCCTGTTTGAGAGCAAGCAAGAGGTCTGCTTGGAGCTTATGGAGGGAGGTTATGTTTTCAGCTGATGGAGAGTCCTCATAAATTCCTTCTGCTTCTGTCACAGCAGTCTCCAAATTACGAACCCGGTCAAAAACATTCCCGAAAACCTCTTTGTTCCACGATCGTAGGGCTTGTTTAAGGCGTTTAAGCTTGAAGGCCAAAGCATGCATGCCACCCCCATCTGCAGCTCGGCCTAGTTGGCCCGTGCGAAATCTAAGAAGTTGGGGTGGGTTTTCCACATATTTTGAAAACGGAACTGCTTTGGAAACGTCAAAGCGCTGTTCGACCCATTAAAGAGCACAGGGGAGTGATCAGATGAGGTACAGCCAAGCACAGAAATTCGAATACCCGTGAAGTAATCCCGCAAAGTCGAGTTCATTAAGAAGCGGTCTAATCTTTTCCAAACTGCTCCTGCGCTACGAACCCCGTGCCAAGTGTAAAGACCTCCGGTTGTTGCGAGGTCGAGTAGGCCATTATCGTTAATAAAATCAGAGAAATCTGATATGCTGCCCAGGTCTGGAAATGCATTGCCTCTGTACTCAGAGATGCTCGAAATCACGTTGTAGTCACCGCCTATAAGAGTAGGCCTATTTACATTTAGTCTTGTTGCAAGTTGTGCCCATAGCTGTGCCCGTTCCAATCTCGTATGCTTCGCATAGATAGCTATGTAGTCAAAGGTAAACTGCCAGGGGGAGTAGCAAGCAGTACAAGAGATAAATTGTTCACAATCCTGGTCAATATTTATTTGTAAAGAATCACTCCATAGTAACCAAATTTTTGAATTTTCTGAAGCATAGCCACCTGCAAAGTTAAACTCTTGCATGTAACTGTGCAAACGATCAGCTGGTAAAAAAGGTTCAATTATTGTGACCAAATGGATGCCCTCACGACGAATTATTCGTTTCAGCCTGCGCCGTGAGGTGATGAGGCCTCTAACATTCCAGATGAGCAGATTCATTTGAGACGGTGAGAGAAGGATACTCGAGCGATTTTCCCCACAGCTAGCCGGGTGGTTACTGAGGGGGTATTTGCAGAGTAGTCTTTCCGAGGCCGACTCTTTTTCTTGGTTACTGTTATATAGTCATCCAGGCGCGATCTCCTAATCTTGGAGGCAAAAACTTTACTCGCTTCCTTCCATGACTCTAGCAAGGATTTTGAGAAGCTTTGAGCTTCGGAGACTTCATCACCCTCCGATAGATGTCCTGGCTGGGAGTCTGAACGAGATGAGGAGCGGACGCCATGATCGTCAATGAGAACAGGCCCAAGCGAGGCGTTGGCATCTGGGATGGACACTGGCAACGCAGAGCTCCCTGAGTCATTCAAAACTGGTTCAGTTGGTGAATTTGCAGAAACGTTGTCTTGGGGATCAGCTATCAAGTTCTCAACTAGTCGCCAGCGTTTTCTAGGAGGAACAATCTGAGGTTGACGGGCAGGTAGAGTGATTGTTTGCGGGGGATCCTTAGGGGGTTCCCGATATGGTTCTTGCGGGCGATCATCAACGTGGTTGCTTCTACAATCTGACGAAAGATGCCCAAATTTTCGACATCCCATGCAATATGGGGGGATGTATTCATAGGTTACTTTTTGAGTGAATCCACCGTATGATCCATTTGTGATCCAGACCTGATCCGGAAGGCGTTGGCTAACGTTCAACTCTACACAAACCCTGGCCAACGACGGTCTGTTGTGCAAAAGAGTTGAAGAATCCACCTTGAGCGGGGTTCCTATGAGGTTGGTGATCGAGTAAATAGCCCTTTTATCCTGCAGGTGAGCCGGAAGTCCATCGAAAGCAATCCATACAGGAACGATTGGGGATTCTATATCTGGTCTGAAGTCCGGTGACCATTTAAAGATCCTCATGATGAAGCCTCGAACTAACCAAGATTTTCAGAGCCAACACCTCTGAAAGTCAGTTTCTAGATCAAAATTGATGAGTACATGCCTTTGATCTAAAAGACCGAGTGAGAACGCTCCACCAAAGCCAATCTGATCGAAAGTCTTACGAAGTTCAGCCATAGATGGACGTCCTTTAGAAAATTTACCCACCAGCGCAAAACGGAATTTCTGGGAAAATTGTTGTATGTCTTGATCTGTGAAAGAAATCGCTGGCATTCCTTTGTATCTTCCTGGTGTTCGTAGGGGGGGATCAGAAGAAGATTTCGAGAGAACATCTGCGAACGTGCGTGGTGGGGGCTCGGCGGCCCCCGGCGGTGCCGCCATCGGAAACGAAAAAGCGTCAAAATAGCAGAGGATTTGTAACTAACTGAGAGAGAGCTGTCTGGAACGATTCATTTTTATTCAACAATTAAAAAATATTATAAGTTATTTTATTTGAAACAACTAAAACTTACTTTAATATATATGGCGCTAGATAGCATTGTTTCTGTCCATATTGCATGGTGACGTTGATATACCATGTCCGTTCATCTATAGTATTCGAAACTTGTTGAATGAAATGTGGATCTAAGAAGTCATATGTGGTCTTTGATGCCAATTCAAATTTGTCATAAAGACCCCTATTCAAAAATACAATCAATCATATATATTAGTAATATAATAGATGAAATGAAAAAATATTATATAAACAAATAATAGTAAAGAACTTAATTATTACCTTATAAAGAACTGCAATATCGAAACGTCTAATGTCTCCATCCTTAAGAAACTCAAAATCTCCAACGGGTCAAGTTGTAAGGTATAGTCAACATCGCCCACAATATCACGCCACATCTTTATCACAACATTTTCATCAAGTTTGCGAACAATTTTATATACCTTTAAACACCGAGGACTCAAAGAAGTCGGATCAGCTATAGTGAGATCAACAGAAGGTCGTTGCACACCGGAATCATAAGTCATTTTTAACTGTTCAATATAAGTAACAAGAGGAAATTTCAATTTTGGTCATATGACTATAGGGGTCTTGTTAATTTTAGTCCCTGACTTTCAAAAGTGTCAATTTAATACCTTAACTATGCAATTTTTGTCAATTCTGGTCGCTCCGGCCAAATTGCCGGCTAAATATCACCGGAAAATTTTAGTAATTAAAATAATGAGGATGTTTTGGTCATTTCACGCCTCTTTTCTTCTTCTCCGGCGAGTCCATCCCTTTCTCTCCCGCTTCCGACGTTCTTTTCTCCCTGTAAACCCTATCTTTAATATCATCAATCCTCCTTTCCCCATCATCTTAGTTCATTGCATTCACCGAAAACGGGCAAGGAAGGGATGGACTCGTCTGGGAAGAAGAAAAGAGACGTGAAACAACCAAAATATCCTCATTATTTTAATTATTAAAATTTTCCGGCGAAATTTGACCGGCAATTTGGCCGGAGTGACCAAAATTGATAAAAAAAATTTGCATAGTTAAGGTACTAAATTGACATTTTTGAAA